TTCTTAAGCGTTGTAGCTATATAATTTCAAACATCCTCAAGAGCTATAACACATCTGCAGCAGAACTGGATATGAAGACAAAATTGCTGGACAGGAACACTTTAATTGTCCACTAATCTTCAGATTTCCTGCCATGTTTTAAAAAACTTTATTTGTGAAAACCTTCAGCGTGGCGGACAGCTGGCCGCTTTAGGCGGCTAGTATTTCAATAAAATACGATAAGATTGGATATTTTGTTACAAATTCAGATATTCAGAGCGTTATGAAATTAGGGGGATTCCATTTTTTCCTTCCATTTTTTTATTCCATTGTCCCGGAGACCCTGGGTTTGAAACCCTGCGAGGGTCGTCTTTCAATTTTTTTTTATTTATTTTATGTTATTTTTTTTTTATTTATTTCTCGATATTTTAACGTGAATAAAAAGTTCTGTATACAAAAATAACTATTTTTTCTTTGGGAGATAGCGAATAATAGCTAATGAAGGGATAAATTTCGTATAATTTTTAGTTATTTAATTATTCTATTTTGTATTATTTGTTTAACTTCTTTTTCAATACTTTAAAATGGATAAAGTGTTCAATATATAAAAAGAATTATTTTTCTTTGCTAAAGAGCAAATAATGGCTGAAAAAGGGGCAAAAATTGTATCAGGAGGCACGCACACATCACACCCCGTATCTCTCTATAATATGAACCTATAAACTTCAAACTGGGCACGAACTTAGAGTTTAATTTAACAAACAACTGTTCCAAAGAAATTTTTTTATAGACCTACTAGTGGGCCCACAATGACCCAAAATATATTTTGTAGACCAACCGGGAGTAGGTGTTTTAAGCTAGATATTCGTGAGGCAGACATGTGAAGCGTGGCGAAGTTGATAGCGCTTTGGGGAAGTTAGATTTGTTGTCCCGGAGACCCTGGGTTTGAAACCCTGCGAGGGTCGTCTTTCATCGTGGTTCTTTGCGTACAACATCGTGATTCCTTGTGTACAACAGTTAAACCGCGCTGTGGATTGTGTATTATTTCGAGAATTCACTGGCGACTGAATAACACTTGTTTACGCCAACAACCAAATTAAAGCGCTGAACTGCAAGTAATTTCGTCAAATCTTTGCCGAATACGAACGTTCGACGGCTGCATGGGAAGACTGGTTCTAAGTATTAAAACATTAGATTAATCTGTCTGCTTATA